ATCAGGGATATTAATTAAATTAGAGATCTTAGAATCAGTGAAATACAGGATGTTTGAAGAACAGGATAATCACAGGGAGGCAGGAAGAAAATAGCAGGAAGAAAACCTCCTTTGTCTGCCTTTCCTTTCAACCCTTTGGGCCACCCAGCCCAGCCAACTCTGGATTTCACATTCCAGCTTTTCATGAGAAAACTTTATCACTATTAACTAGGACTAGCTAACATAAACATATTTATTTTGTCCTTTAATTACTTCAGTTATACTGATTAGAGTTCTTTACTTACTAAATGGTATATCTTTGATAATAGATTGAAATTTTTAAAAATTCATTTTGCATTAAAATAGTTTTCTCCAAAGAGCCAAAATGTGCGTTGGTGTATGAGAAAGGTTTTATTTTTATGCTGTTCAGCAGCCATGTATTGCTGAACTTTCTTAAATGGTTTTTCTTGGCAATTTGAACATATCAGAGTCTAAGGAACAGTATGATGGTTTTATTCATGAGTTCGTCAAACATTTATTGACTACTATGGGAGGCACTTGTTTGGCCTAATACTCCATGAAAGAATCAGAAAATCACCTGCAATATAAAAGATTAGTGTGTCCCCTGCCTTTTTCTGTAAATTTCATTTTAAAGTAAGTATTAACACAATCAAGTAGATACGCACAGTGGTGACTTGATAGCTTCACAGATTTGCTTTAGTTGCATTTAAAAATGTGTATCTTTCTAATTGATGTGTTACAGTTTTATGAATTAGCAGCAAGAGAAATAGTTCTATCTGTAACAAGGGACGGCTGTAGCAAAATCACACTGACTTGCTGAAAATCATTCCTTAGGAAAAGTTGTTTTGTTTTGTTTTTTCCCAGTTAATAGCAGTATAATCATTTCTACGTCTTTCCTCTCTGGCTTCTGAATAGTAATAAAGGAAACTTGTTCTTTGGGAGTTGTGCTAAGTTTCCTAAGCATCAAAGGGCTGAAGTGGAATTATATCCTTAAAGCCATAACGACAAGTGAATGGATGTGCAGTTGTAGGAGTTAGTAGAGCTGAGCGATTGCTGCAGGTTTTGAGAAATGAGACTGCTTTTCCAAAGGTGCAGAGAGTGAGCTGGTGAGAGGGCAGGTAGCCAAGAAGCAAATAAAGGGCACTGACAGCAACGACAGAGGAAGAAGCAAGCACAGATAGCCCTTGCTCCACTGCTGAACGCATACTGAAGTCTCACTGAGTACCCAGAAATGATCTTCATTGTTATGGAATTCCATGCTTTTATGAAAATTGTTATAATATTTGCTAAAATTCCCCAATACCATTTTTGAGAGGGCCAGCTATTAAAATCTTGAACAGGGAAAGAGTTGCTTTTGAGAGTCACAGTTTATATGTGCATGGCTTGTGCATCCAGACATTGGTTTCTTTTTCTCCTGTATCCTTCCCCCTCCCCCAGTGCAACTATATGAAGTGATAAACACCACGACCACCATCTACATGGTGATGGAATACGCCAGTCATGGTAAGAGCATTTATATATTATATATTGGGGTTTTTTTCTTTATTCCTTTTTAAAAGAATACAGAACCACACTTCCCATATAATTGTTAAGGTTTCATTTAACATCCAGAGTCATAATATACTAGGATGAGAGTAAAAAAGCTGACTCTTAGCAATTCTATGGGTTGCCATTAAGTGTTTCACTATTAGCTTTGTTAACTGATAAAAGCCAAGACCCTGGATTTTTTATTGTGGGAAAATACACATCACATAAAATTTACCATTGTAACCATTCGAGTGTACAGTTCAGTGGCTTTAAGTATGTTCACATTGCTTTGCAGCCCTCACCACCATCCATCTCCAGAACTTTTTCATCTTACCAAAGCTAACCACTAACCCCTCATGTCCCCTCCCCAGCTCCTGGCAACCACCATTCTGTCTGCCTGTGTGAGTCTGGCTGCTCCAGGTGCCTCATGTAGGGACTGCAGTATTTGTCCTTTTGGGACTGG